TTTAAGGATTCTGTGAAAAATATCACGACCTGGCCTCTTGGAGGACACGTTTTGCTAATTTCCCATGGCTGTAATACAAAAAAAGCAACACGATAAAGCTTCAGCGAGAGAGAGGTGACAAGACTCTTAACCCCGACTCTTATTAACCAGTGGCTGAACTAGGATCTCCTGACAACGGCTTGGAAGGAAAGCTCCCTCAGACAAGGCTGGCGGACTTGGGCAGGTGCCTTTGTAGAGACACTGGGCCAGGTAGAATGGCATGTCACGGGGCACAGAGCCGAAATGCAGCCCACATTCAGGCTGCAATGATGCAGTGTGTTGGGTCTGTGTTGCACCAGGGCTGACAGCAGCTCAGATTAGGAACTGTAGTTTGAATGGGGATGGTCCTGCTGCATGCAAAGGGTTCATCATAAAGCAGCTGGACTGGAAAGCACCTCCAGAGCTCAGCTAGTCTAGAGGGTCTCAACCTTTTTTGTACTAGAACCCACTTGTAAACATCAATGGCCAGTCCTGACCCCAATGCCCCTCAGCCCCAGCCCCCCATGTGCAGTGCAGGGAGTAGAGAGAGCGATCTGCAGGTCGGGAGTGATGGGCACCAGCAGGGTGGGGGGCTGCGCATGAGGAGCGAGGGGCACGGGGGATGGGCGACTGTGGGTTGGGTGTGCAGGGCACTGGCAGCGCCCGGGGGCTGCGGGTCGGGAGTGAGGGGCAGCCCCACGGCTGGGGGCGGGGTGGCTTGGGGACCTGTAAACAGGGCAACCCCGGCATCAGCCCCGTCCAGCCCGCCACCTCTGCTCTACCATGAGAGCCATCAGCCCTGCCACAGCCCAGCCCTAACCGCCACCCGCCGCAGGGAAGCGCCCGGCCTGTGAGCGGCTGTCACCGTGGCGGGGAGAAGCGACCCCTCCCCCCGCCCCGGGGGGTGAGTCCTTCCTGCCCCAAACCTGCCGGGTTGCGGCCCCCGCCCCAGCGGCCCCGCGCTCACTCCTCCAGGAAGTCCTGGAACAGCTTCTGGCACTTCTCGGCCACCTCATCGCGCAGCTGCTGGTGTGCGGCCCCTGCGGCCTCCGCTGCCGCCAGGTCCATGTCTGTGCTCGGCCGCGCTCCGCGCCCACGTGGCGGGAGAGCGCCGGGACCAGCCAATCGGCTGCGCCACCGCCTCGCCCCGCCCCCCCTGGCGGAGGTTTTCGCGCCAAATCTTCAAGGGCGGCACCGGCTGCGCATGCGCGGGGCGGGGCGTTCTGTCCCTACTCCCGCGCGCTGCTCAGTCCCAGCGGGTGCATGATGTCACTCGCCTCCCTCAGGCTCCCTGGCACCCACCAAGTCTTCAGGCCCCGAGGTGCAGAGGAGCGCCGCTGCCCGCCCCGGGGGCGCGCCCGACTCGTCCGCCTGCCCCTGGGCGTCCCACGCGGGCACGGAGAAGAGCCCTGAACGAACGAGGCACCCCGTCCCCACGCGGGGTTGCCCTGGAGTCCCAACGCGTCTCCAGGAGTCACCCGGGAGAGGAACGATGGGGTGTCCATTCAAATACATGTTAAAAGTTGTGTCTGGGTTTTTTAAAGGGAATCGTGGTGTGCGTTCACCTTTGCGCCGCGATGTTTGTCACGGCATCGTGGGATGAGTCTGCCTGCAATACAGTCAAGCGGAGTCGGTGACCCAGCGTGTGGCCCTTTGGTGGCATGGCCTGTGGCTGTGTGGGGGCCTGCTGGCCGGCCAGCCAAACTTCACACCGGTTTGGCCCCGGCTCTTTTCTTCACGTTTAAATAAGGGAAATGGTGTTTATTTGGGCTGGATC